AGACTGGTCTCAGCCAAAGCACAAACCCGCCAAATTCCTATGCTAATTCCTCCACAAGGATGGGGGGACATACAGGCAGGGGCTGTCCTTTTGCCCTGCGGAAGCTGACACTGGAGCAGGCAGAGCTGACACTGCTACAGGCAGTCAGATCTGCTACCGGAGTGTGCTGGGCTTCAGTGCTCTTCTTCCAGCTCCGGTGCCATAAGCATATCCCTAAATTCTCAGCTTTCCCTCAGAAATGCTCAGGCTAAGAAATCCAGCACTACCCAAATGTTCAGAGAGTGGAATGCAATAATGTGTTTTCTTTGTATATATTTAAAATATTTTTGATTGCTCTACATTTGACCCATTGCCTTCTAATTCCTTAGTGGTTTTACAACAGAAATAGGCCTCAAGAGAGGACTTCAAAGAGGAAGAAGTGGGGTAGGGTAGGTAAAGCAGACATGGGAGCTGACATCAAGAAATGCAGAGCAAAACAGGCCTGGGCAGTGGGATGTGATATGTTTTCAGTTAACTAAATGGAAATGAGCATCTGTTACACTTTTATAAACCAGGCAGAAATAATCGTAGAGATAATTTAGCTTCAGAGTAAATATAAGCTCTGCTGTGTGCTCCTCCTGATAATGGGATAATTTACTAATGTAAAGAACTTAGTTTGCAGCAGTTTGTGAACTAGCTAACACTGCTGTGTATGCAAGACATAAAAAATACCTCGCAGGAAGAGTGCCAAGGATCTAAAAGATCAGTAGAAAAAAAGACTGGCTGAATTATCACCAAAGACGCCAGCGAATTATTTCGTCTATTCAGGACTCCTCTGTAGTTTTCTCACAATGTCTCTAATATTGTTTCCTATTCATTTGACCCTTTCTAACCACTGCAACTTTAGAGATGTGTGGCTATCCCAACAGACCAATGGCGGTGAAGAAGCAAAGGAAATAAACAACCTAAGGATGTAGATTCCTGTGCTGCCAAAAAAGGAATAGATGATGATTAGCAATTTAATGTAAGAAATAGTTTCATGTGGCAGTTGGAGAGACATTAGCTAGAAAAAAGAAAACTTGAAATTCAGCCTGAAAACATATAACTTGAAACTGGTTGTAACTGAAAGCCACTACCATAGAGCAAATTGGAAACCTTTTAATTGTGGCCAAAATATTTTCCCTCTAACTGAGACTGGTATTAGCTTCAATCTGAGCATAAATATTTTGAGTCAAGAATTTTTCGATAGAAATCTGTAATTAGCTTTGCAGTATTGCTGGTATCCATCTACTTAGCAATGACTATGACTTTATTAGCTACTTAATCATGTGAAATACTCTCTTCCCAAATGCTTAGGGAGAACAATGTCTCTGTCAGATTCTGTTGCTGTTGGATTGTGTGTTTAATACCCTGTTATATTTCAGACCCAGTAGAAGTTAGTTACTGAAACTTTTGTTTTTATCACCAATCTCCACTTGCAGATATGGCCAAATTAAGTCTTTCCCAGAAACGAGCTTCACAGGGTTTTCATCCTCACCTGAGATTTAGATTACCGCAAAGTCTGTGTCTGGCAATCTGTATTATTTCAAAATGTCCTAACAGTTATGCTTTGAGATCGTATCCTGCTATGTGTTGAGGCTGATGGGAATTTTGCCTCTGGCCTCAGCAGGAGTAGGGCCTGGGAACTCTTAGTCTCTGCCCCCAAGTGCATTGCACAGTTCTGGCATCAGTGTGGGATCTGGCCACGAGCAATCATGTCTGATGATGAACCTCCAAACTGCCAAGAATATGATGCAAATAAGGCAATACCTGTCAGTGGTGGATGCAGCTCTGAGGTAAACGTGAGGGCTTCACTCCCATCCCTCTTCCCCTTTCTCTATCAGATTTTCTGATGGAAGGACACTCAGGCAGTGCAACTGTCAGCTGGGAGAAAATTATTCCCCATGCTCTGGCCAGCTCCATGTCTTTCCTCCAGGTACTACGACTGGTATGTGCAGGAGACGCTATGGGGACAGAACTGGAACATGAAGTCCCCAGAAGTAAGGCAGGGCTTAGAAAACTTGCATAACTATTATAGAGTCCATTAGCCTAATTCTCCTGGTAGAGTTGCACCCATAAGTATATCCCACATCTCTTTTTTTTCTGCATGTGAGATGTCTCTGGCCAAGGTAGCCAAGGAGGCCAGCTCATCTTAAAGATGTTATTTGGCTAGCAGCTCTAGGACTGAGTCAGCGTCAAGGGCTTGTTCAGCTGAGTCAGCTAAGGAAAGCCTTCTGAGGAATCCAAGCCTTGCAGACCGGTGCAGTAAAGAAACAGAAACATTTCAATTCAGAATTGGGAGGATAACTAATGCTGGTCGTCATTTAAAATAGCAAATTATACAGCTGAAGAATGAAATAACCTTGTGTCTAGCTTCTTCCTCTGCCACAGCTCTCTCCCTTGCATTCTTTTGCCATGAGTTCAGCTCGTATCATTTCTCCCAGTTGCTGGTCCCAGATTAAGCTAGCTGAGAGCGACAGAGTACAGGGGAAACTGCTGATTTTCACAGATTACAAGCGAAAGCCGTTGGTAGATTTCCCAGTGCTAGGACTCTGGAGACCAAGAGGTGTGGCTTATGGCTGGGCAGGGAAGGCTCTGCAGCTGGCTAGAGGTGGGAAAACGAAACAGTGGATTTTTTTACATTGTTAATGAGAGATTAGGGTGGGTCTAAGCAGCTGTAAAGATGAAGGGCAAATGGAGGTCAGGGCTATTACCGTCAATGTTCAACAGATATCTTCTAGCCTACCTGACAGTTATGAGAGAAAATAGTCCCTAGCCCTGCCCTTAAACAAACTTTCTATGTCAGGAGGACTTTTCCTTGCTGCACAGTGATGGCACTGACAGCCAGGATGTTCCAAACTTGACTGTGCTGAGGTTGGGGAGATGAAATGACAACAAAAAAATAACATGTAAGTGAATAGGTAGGAACAAAAGGCCTTCACTCATTTAACCGGTGTCAGATGAGCACAAAACTGTGGGGCACCATAACAGAAATAGGTTTCAAAGAGAGATTTTGAAGATGAGACTGTGGTAACTTTACCTATGAATGGAAAGAAAGCAAGAGAAGCAGCTAGACTGGAAATTGAAGTTGCTGCTGTCTGCAGGGCAAAATGTCCAAAGTCAGTCTTGTAAGCTGTAGGATTTGATAGATAAGATGAGTTCACAAAGGAAGGCCTTACAGGGAAGACCACGTGTCTGTGTACGTGAGGAGGATGGGGAGAGGACAACAAGCTGATCTTTGGAAACCAAGATGAGAGCAGATATGTTTTGAATGGATTTAAATGAGGTCGTTCAGAGGGCAGCTGAATATTGCACTGAGGGTGGGATGCCAAGAGCATTGGTAGTTTAACATTGCCAGCATCTGGCCTTCATACAGCAAGATACAGGCATAGTCAGCCTAGAGAGAGGGGGACCTTCTGGTGATGCCTCGTGTGCGGCCACGTGTTCACAGCAGCAGTACAAGGACGGAGAAGAAAACATCCAAGCAACATTTTAGTGACATTGTACCTAACTTCAAGCATATCAGTAGCCCAATTGCATTGTGCTGAAGGGAGGACTGAATTATTTGAATCATTTTCTTTGGGAAGACTGATCTGCCATTTGCCTTGAAGGTAGTGTCTAACTTTCCCAAGTCTGGTTTCTGCATACTCTCAGGTGTCTGCTTTCTGTCCTGCCCTCCCAGCAGCTTGAATATATTGTGTCCTCTTCTTCCTCTGGATCTTTTTGTATGCCGGCCTCTCTTGTCCCTCTCCCTATGCCTAATGCATGTGTTATCATATTGACTATGGCATATTCTCTGAATTCAAATTCTTCTGTAAAGTGCTTTACTACCAGTTAGCTCTCCAGGGAAAACCGCCTTTGGCGCTGTTGTCTGTTTTGCTTACGCCAGAGCGCATCCTTTCAAGGCCTGAGCACATCTGTTTCAAACCTCCTTTAGTTAATGTTACTCCTCAGCTCTGCCTGCCTTTTTCCTTCCTGTTCCATTGTTTTAATTCTCTATGTTCATCTGATTTACAGTCAGCTCTGTCAGTCAAAGATATCTGGCCCAATTCTCCTCCAAATTATGGAGATTTACCCCACAAGGATGGAGTAAGAGGAGTTATTCTGGTATTTCTGATACAGCAGCATCTGAATCTGGAAGTGCTTCCTCTTTCAATAGCATGCACGATTTTGGCAATATATTTGAATAAAAATCTGCTTTCTTTAGAATACACAACGTTACATTTAAAATTTTTAAAAGTGAAATGGATTCTGAAAAAAAACTTCTAATTAATAATGTCTGTCCAGAAAATGATGTCATTTGGCAAACAGGAGCAGTTAAAGAAGCTCCTGACAAGACAGTCATAACTGGATATAAGATAATATTCGCTGTTGTGTAAGTCAATAAACCAACGTGATAAACAAGCTTGCCTTCAGAGGCCTAAAGCAGAGAAGACTTTAAAGGCTGAATTCTTCTGAAATGTTTCAGAAATATTTTGAAATTTTGAATCTCAGGAATAAGATGGAGACCGTGGTCATTGTTGTCTGGAAGATGTGAAGGTGCAGAGATGAATAGAGTAAAAGCTTCAGTTCATCAAGATCAAAATATTTTTCCATTAAATAGAGGGACACTCTAGCTTGAACCTTCCCTCACACTTCAGTTTCATCTGATATTCAGCTCACTGAAGCTAAATTTTCTCAAAGCATCACACTTTGGCTGAAAACACAGAGTGGCTTCTTGCCAGATACAAGATTTAAAGATGTTTGTACGCTTACTTGACTTCCTTTGAATGGACATAACTGCTAGGTTTTGTACCGTCAGCTCCTTACATTCCTGCAGCAACCTCTTTCCTGTTATGCTCCGGGTCTCCCAGACTCCTTGCCTCTGCAGGTTAGGGGACACTGAAAAAATGTGTAACTCTAGAGCTACGATGACAGCTTTTGCAAAGCGTGCTGTTGGCAGGTGCCAATTTGAGCAACAGTTGGTCCGTAAGGGAATTTACCCCATGCCCAAAGACTGCCCAGGAGCGCCTGACGGGGCACAGCTCCCCAGCCGGCACCGCCTGGCGTACGTCAGGGCCCGGATGCAATCGGTACAACTCGGACACAGCTGTACAGAAGCTGTGGACTGGCGGTACCCACTGGCAGCACGGGCTGGTTTCCATGCAGACTGCACCCTGGTGACCGTTGTCACCTTCTGCCGTGATATATGGCTCAGTCCTTTTCTGGGCCATGTCTCTGCTGGCAGGAGGTGGCATCAGTAAAGCAAATGAGCTGTGAACTGATACAGGTACAACACTGACAGATATTAAAAATATTTCAAAGACTTTCAGCATCTCTTCTTCCGATGTGGGGTATCACTTCTTCTGGCCCTCGATGGTCTCCCTGACCTTGCCACGTGTCTGTGTGCTGCTGACACTTCAGCCATGAGTTACGACAGCAGTTACGGCTCTGCGCAGTCCTGTTCTATGGTGATGATTTATCATTTGTATTACAGTCGTGCCTAGAGGCCTGAAGCAAGATCAGGGCCTCGTCGTGCTAATCACGGTATAAACATGTAGCAAGAGATAGTCCTGCTCTTGAAAGATCACAAACAAAAGGTGGGTGGAGGAAGAGAAACCTAGAGATATGAAATGAATTCCCCAAGGCAACCCAGCAGTAAGGGCCAGCACAGGAAAGAGGGCTTGTGCCCCTCAGCTCCCGCCTGCTGGCGTCTCCGCAGGACTCCCCTAGTCCACGAGGTCATGTCCTCTTCGGCATTGCCCTGCCTATGCCACCTACTGTTGCTGCTGTGCTTCAGAAAATTTTTTCTTTCTTTTCATCTTTTTTTCTCCATAAAGCTGACAGTCATTGCTACAAGCAAAACTTTTGGTCATCACCTCCAAACTGAGACCCGATGACTCCACTCTTTTTCAGAGCAAAGTCAAACAGATTAACTTAAACCATTGCTGTCTCCTATATATGAACACAAGTTACCTTGCAAGGCTGACAAGGTACTAAACTAAAACTACAGAGACATCCTATGGAGCAGCTGCATCCTGCCCCCATTTATGGGGCTTATTGCTAATGTCTGGCCATGCCTAAACACTACCCTTGCTTTTCCTTTGCAGGAGGTAGAGAGATATTGGAAGGTATTTTTTTTCCTTCTAATTGTTACTACACTTGGCAGTATGAAAGGAACTCTCCTTTGAGTATAAAAATGGCGTTTCTAGAGCTTAGCCTAAAAGCTGGGTATGTGGACTAGCATCAGTCCTGTGTTAACATGAATTACACATTGCACATTGCTTGGAAAACTTTGTGAGCTGACTTTTCTGAAGCGCAGAACTATGTATGCATACTTGGCCCCAAAATTTTCCAGACTGTACTTATGAAAATATTTGATTCTGGCCTTTAGAAAGACAGGGAAATAAAAATACTCAGAGAGCTGCTCTGCCCTGTGCTGCTAATCAGGAGCGTCAGTTAAGCAGTCAGGAGTATGCAGGCACTCAGGTGGTATTAGGAGGTTGTAAGATAGTAAAGTGAGAGGCCCTGGTGTGCCGTGACAGCTCACAGGAGAGTCTGCAGTACTTGCTAGACTCCAAGGCCTGCTAGAAAAAAGCAGAACATGCTGCCCCCAAAGAACCTGGAAAGTGTGAACTGCATCTAAGGAGAATAGAAATTACTCTTCTTTCCTCCTCTGGCTCTTCCCATTTCCACGATGTGTTGCAGCTCTCAAGTATTATTATTAGGGGAGTTCACTAAGAAGGAAATTTTCAGCACGTGTTTTTGATGCTGATTTGACTGTCAATAGCATGTTTTAAATCATTTCATTTTGTGTAATTCCGGTGGAAAAAACCACAAAATTTATATTTCTTCAAAGTGTCTGTTATCTGGTAATTTACCTAATCGAGGAACATATTCAGGGGTTTTCTCAGATTCTTTTTTATTCCTTCTGTAAAATAAACACACAGCGGGGTGCTGGCCTTCTTTACAATCAGCTAAGCTGCCAACCCTGGCCTCAGCACAGCTGTCACGAGTCTTACGTACTGCATTAGTCACTTAAGTAGAAGCAGCCTCAGAACAAAATGAACAATCAAAGAAGTTTGCTTTCCCCACACAGGTATTTTTCTGCCTTGTCTGTATATGTGAGCAGTTACTCACAATCCCAGCTCTTCAGGCAGTTTTAATTTCACTTCTTTTGAGCCTTTGCCATCACTCACTCCTCCACTGAGTTCCCGAGTTACGTTTCTGCCCTCACTATCAATATAGCCAAAATAATAACCAAATTTACCAGTTCTGCAAATGTGCTGTTCTCCTTGATTTCTGTGCTAAAAAAGAACAGCCACACTATGCAAATATATGTTATTGAATGGGTACACTTAGCTTTACAACACTCCTTTGGCAAGTTGTGTCCTCCTCTTACATTTCCAGTTATAACTTTACATGTGCTGTGAAGCTGTCGTGCTTCTTCTTTTTTTTTTTTTTGCATCACCAAACTTTTGCCAGATATAAGCCTGACATTCGGAGGCAGCTAGGGCACGGCGTTACAACATTAGCGTTGTTTCTGCTGCTAATAACTTTTTTCTTTTCTTAACCCTTTGAGACACAAAGGTCTCAAAGACAGACTCTTAGGGCCACCAGGAAGGTTAAGAGGCTGGTTCTGCCCTGCCGGGCAGCGCTGGCTGCCTCCGGCCCGTTCGCGGCCAGAGGAGGTGGGCGGGCAAGGGAGCAAAGAAAGCGCGAGCCGTTGAGCCTGCCGCACGAGGCCAGGGTAGGAGCTCGGAGGGCAGGAGAGGAGGTTTTGCGACTAGGAGCTTTGCACATGGGGCGAAGTCACAGGTATCGCCTTGGAAGCCATCAGAGGCGCGAGGGAGATCCAAGCATCCTCAGATGTGAGACACAGAGCAAGTAGGACGCATGCTTTTAGGGTACCAGGCTTCACCGCTTCCACTTTGCAGGGAGAAAATTGTGTTGCAACATGGCTCAGGCACTGTAAAACAGCCTAGCGGCATGTCACCTAAGGAAGACCAGCATGGTTGAGCTCCCATCACTGTCTACCTGGTCTGTCATGAGAATCCTCTGGGGTCAAAGGCAAGACTCGACCCTTTCTTTGAACAGGCACAGTAAATACAACATCAACAGTGGGGCACCAAGGGGTCTGGGCACCAAATCAGCTTCCTTGATTTCACCGGAGACAAACCCGTAAACCCCCGGACTGCTGCAATCCTCACAGACTGTTAGCCTTTACCAAACAACCTAATGACACAGCATAAGCCAGTGACGTCTGGCAGTCTGGATCCCAAGGGCATGCAGCTGGCCGCAGCGGCGCTGTTCGTATGAATAAATATTACACCTCTGAGGTGGAAAAATGGGATTAAAGTCTTAAAGACAACAACATTGCCTGAGCTCCTAAGTGAACAAATTTAGTGCAGGCTCTATTACTGCTAAATGGCAAAATTACAGTTGTAACAATATGGAAATGGAAATGTAATTGTGTATAAAATTGTGTAATCATTAAAATCCATATAAATTTTGAGCACTCAAGCACAATCGTCTAGTGCTTGACACCTGAAACATTAGCATAATATTCATGCCATATGGCTGGCATTTTCTGTTTCTTATATCTGTCACTCTTCATTCTTGTCAGCTGCTCGGGAGAACTTGCCAGATAATATTTGCACCATTGCCAAAAATTTCCAACAGCTGGCGTGGTATTGGTTAAACACTCTGTAACGTTTCAAAGTTTAGTGCTCCCATCTACGCATTAGCAAGCTGGCTCTTGGAGCAGATGTTTAGCTTTGTTTTTAAATTAACTTCGCTCTGCTTTTGTGTCAGCTGTCTGTTTTTTACGATCCATCATGCTGCCGCCTTCTACGAGATAAATGAGCACGACAGTATCCGGGCTCTGACAATCTTAAACTGCTTAAACTAGCATTATAAACTCTTTGTGAAAGAAAAGCACTATACTGTCTGTTTTGGTACCTGGACTTGTGTTGCGGAAAACAAGTCAGAGCCCCCCTTTCGGCCAAGGCTGCCAGCTCTTAAAGTCTCCTTTTTCATTCGATCCTCCTTGCAGCACCTAAATGTGGATCTGCCCCCAGCGCTACAGCCGCCAGAGCGCCTCTGGGGTCCAGCAATGGGCACAGAGGGACCCACGCTCCAGGTGAGCCCCCAAACCGGGACAGGGGCTTGCAGAAAACATGCACGTGTCGCATGGCAATGGTGAAGAGTGCGGCTCCATCCCGCAGCCATGCCGCAGGCGGCAGGACCATGGCTACTCACCAGGCTTGCAGCTGCCACGCAGCCCCGGGGGCTCCCGACTCACCTCTGTTCAGCAGCCTTTGAGGCCGTTGGCAGATGCGTGAGAGAGACATGACGGGCTCTGCAAATACCCTTAAAAACAGCACTAATGACTAAACTGGGGATTCTCTAATGTCTCCTTTATGGAAGTCAATGTGAATTCAGAACAGGTTGAAACCCATGTATGTAGGTGATTTACATATTAAGATTTATGATGAGCAAGGCACATGCACACCAATGAATTAAACAAACAGGCAATTTCATAAACAATCTGATTTTATGGATAACACTTGCAGTTCCCTTAAGGTTGTGAGTTTTAAAGGCTGATTTATGCCTTTGGAAAGAGGACTCCTTGCATTTTCATTCATGGTCTTCTGTTGGTAGAGACAAGGAGATATCTTCTCTTTTGCTCCTATAGTTTCACTGCCAAATGGAGTCACTAGCCAGGTAAATCAAACAGCTGAATCTTGAGTCCTTAGACACTGTGATGGAGGGCATTTGCTGAGAAGCTGCAAAAATATCCCTCAGGCCCAGATGGCTTTATAGGGACAAAGATGGAGAGAGAGGAGTGCTGAAGAGAGGACAGCTCTGCCTCTCCAGAAAGGGCTAATCTGATCCTGTGAAGCTGCTTTATTTAACATAGACAAGCTTCCCATCCAGCATGAGACAAGAAACAGAGACAGACAGAGCAGAAGTAAAACTATAGGTCATCATGCTATAGGCAGTGGTCTTAGCACACCATCACCAAAGGCAGGTTATACACTGCCTTTTACCATGTGGGATGCATAAACGTTGGATATCTAGAGAGTGGCTTGTGCCTCTCATTTTTCTCTTTTCTACATATGATTTTGTGCACACTCCGATGAAAGAAGTGCAGGCGTTAGAACTGTGGCCGCGTATAACAGAAAATAGATGTGCATGCTTTTTATTTCTTGCAGACGTTCCCTCCACTGTACTGCATCCCTCCCTGGAAATTATCCATCTTGGATAATGGATAGAATTAGCTTAGAAACAAGACAAGATGCAATTACTCACTGAAGAAGAATCAGATAAACTGGTGAAATGGAGACTGCAGCTGGGCCTGCGAGTGTCTGGTTTGTGCATGTGCGGAGGAGTCGCACAGGATTTTATCCTTGGCATTGGCTATAATAGGATAAACATATTTTCTGTTTATTGCAATATAGCCTTTTTCCCCCATTAAAAATCATTACTGAGTCATTACAACCTCTCACATAATGGCTGGTATCACTTATTTCCAGTAAGGTGTTTTCCATGTGAAACCCTTAGCTAAAAAATTGGGACTGAAAGAAAAATAAGCTTCACCTCTGCTGAGAAAAAAATCTGAGGCCTGAGAACTGCACCAGCATCCTCTTCAGGGCCATGGGATTCAGCATAGGTGCAAATATCAGCCCACTCATTTCTTAGCCCAGACTCTGCTCTGCTCCTAAGGAAGTTTTCCCTCACCGCTCGGGTCTGCAAGCTCTTTCCAGAAGTATACAAGCAAGCGTCACTAGCTTCTGCCATGTATCACACACATTGGTGTTTTTCACGGAACACTTGTGATATAAGGATATTTTCACCTGCATTTCATAATGAAAGGGAAGGGAAATGGAAATGAGGTGCCATATCTGCAAAAGTATTTGTGTGCTTAAAGCTGCAAATGAGCTTATGTAGATCATACTATCTACATAAATGAGTCATGTTCTTGATTTGCAATAGAACTTAATTTATTTTGGTATGTGGAGCATCCCGTTACGTGCTCATCTGTTTTTTTAGGCATTTCGACACTATTCAAAGTCTGACCATCAGATTAGCTTAAGGTCACACAAGAAGTAGAATATAGTTGAGGACACAAGGACTGTTGGGAGGTGTATTGCATTGCATTTCCTGCTATACGTGTTTATTTGTGAACGCTCTCATTGACATAGCTAGGTTTTGGATTCCAGATTTAAGGAGGGAAAATGGGAAATTTGTGCTAATGAATGTTATTACCTTTTTTTTTTTTTTTTGGCTGTAGAATCTTTGGACTATCTTGATTTAAATATTTCATTTTAAACAGTAACAGAGACTAAAATTTCAGCACAATACCCTCCCACCCCACCCCAAACCTTAAATGTTGGTTAACAAACTATGATGTTCTGCTGCAAAAAGAAAAATACAAAGAATGACATAAGTGGATGTTCCTGGAGGCAAAACATGTAGTACAGTGCAGCTCATTACTCAGTTATGTAGCACACATACATGTGATTGCAATCCATCATTTTTACCACCACCTCGAACAGGATTATAGCCAGCCTGTAGGGTCATACAGGTACCTGTAATCCTAGGCAGCAAGTTCCTTTCAGCTCAGGCCATCACAAATCTATCACTTGTGGTGTTCCATTTATGTTCTTTACTTTATGAACGTGAGTTATTTGATGGAAATAGTTTCAGTGCAAAGGCAACCAGGCAACGCTTTTGAACAAGTGCCAGCCAGCAGGTCAGGAAATCAGTGTTTTGCGCTTCTTGGTGTTGATGGGCTTAGTTAAGGGCCTTTTTTAAAGACAATTGACATGAGATACATTAATGTGAAGTTTCCACACTGAGCCCCTGCCCTCTATGTTCTCTGTACATGCACTTAAAGCCTTTGAGTCGTCCCATTCACTTCAGTGAGCTAATCAGGTGCATAACCAGGAACGCATAATGTTTAAAGGGTTGAGGTTTGATTCTTGATACGGGTATAAAGGAAAGGCAATGATAAGCATGGCGGTTGTGACATGGAGTTATTAACTGCTTCTTATTTTATGCGCTACTCAGGCCGTTGAAGCCATGTGGATAAACCTCACTGTCAGCATGGGCCTTAGAGGGTGCCCCACAGGTCTGAGGTAGGATGTCATGTTATACTTTGCCTGGAAAGACGCACGATCGGTATTGTCAGTAGAGTTGCTAAAGGGGAGGACAGGGAAATAAAAACACTGTTTTTATTTCTCTGTTTTTATTTCTCTCTCCCTCTGTTACACTGCAATAGCACGCCAGTGCTTTCCACTGACATGGAAATCAGCAGACGTAGCCCAGTCCTTCAGTGCACTGCAAAGGCTGCACTGCACTGATGCTTTTCAGAGTCAAACTTTTTCCTGCTAATTTTTTCTAAGGGCAGAAACTTCTGGGAGATTGAAAGCAAAACAAGCAAGATGACTCACTCTTCAAAAATACCTTTTTATTTTGCTTATGTTTCTCTAAGAAATATTTTGCTGAATTTAAGTATAGAAAAATACTGTTGTCTATTTAAATGTTTTTAGTAACTTTTAAAGGTTTCATCTGGCTGACATTTCTTGGCCTTGCATTAATCTTGGGATTGTTTCACAAGCGATCCAGGGAACACCCACTGATAACAATGTCAAACATTCAATGTATTTACTGAACGTTTCCACTTGCTTGATCATTAAGGCATGCTTTTACTATGAGGTCACCAATGTTGTGTAAGTGTAGAATTTATGAGGTGATTTGAACTATAGGGGCGTCCTGACATGTTTTTGGCAAATACC